AAAATTAGTGGTTGGTGCCGCTGGCGGTGCTGGCATAGGAGCTGTCATCGGTGCTGGTTTCGATGGAGACGCCGGAGCTGGCGTCGATGCGGCCTGCAACCCTGGCGTAGGTACCGGCGTAGGCGCAGGCATGGGTGTTGACGCTGGCGGTGCTGTCGTAGGGGCTGGCGTCGGTGCTGGCCTCGATACGGACGTCGGAGCTGGCGTCAAAGCTGGCTGCAACTCTGAAGGACGATGATGCCGAGGAGAGGTCTGTAGGTCACCAGGCTTCGGCGGGCCTGAAGGCGCCGCCGAGCGAGTGGCCATACAGGTAGCGCGGGAGTGGCTGATTGTGGTACTGACGTCCCTTGCGGCCGTCGGAGATGTCGCTGGCAGTACTGGCGTCGCTGCCGTCGATGCTGACGTATTCGCACCACTCGCTGGCGTCGATGCTGACTGCAGCGCCGTCGTCAGAGCTGGCGTCAATGCTGTCTGCGGACCGACGGTGCCGAGAACGATGCTGAAGGTGGAGCCACGGCCGTACCCAAAGTTCAGCAAGATAATGCCGATGAAGATGAGAGCGGTGCCTACGTTGCCGCGGGAGCGCTCTCGGGGGGAGGTTGGGGGCCGACTGCTTGTCACGCACGGCGCGACGACGGCAGGCGTGGGAACAGCCCGACCGCACTCAGCACCGTCACCCTCAGCAGTCGGGGGCCCGACCCCCCCCTGGATACCTGGCCGTACCGAGGTGTGCAGGTGCTGGACGGAGTCGTCTGCGTTGGCGTCGGTGCCTGGTAGGTGAGCGCGGAGGTCGGCTCGGTAGGCGCGCAGCTCGGCGCGCAGGTGAAACACGTCATGCCCAAGTATACGTAGATCTTCGTGAAGATCCGCACGCGGCACGTGTGGGGCGTGTCCAGGTGGCACTGGGAGGTCGCGCCCGTGCAGGACGGGCACGCGGAAGACAAGGTCCTGGTGCCTGTGCACAGTAACATGGCCAGGTAGCTCAGGTAGTACAGCATGGTGAGACGTGAAGGTGCGGTGGCGGCCTGGCACAGACAGGGGGGCCATGGCGGCGGTCGCACTGAGGAGAGGTGACGCGAATCAGTAGGGTCCTGGTGGGACCCCTCCGGTCTCGCGAGGCCTGGGAGTCTGGCTCCGAGGCGGGGCGCTTCGCGTCGCGGCTGCGGTCTGAGTGCTGGGCACTCTCGAGCCGAGACTAGAGAGAGAGAGAGAGAGAGAGAGAGAGAGAGAGAGAGAGAGAGAGAGAGAGAGAGAGAGAGAGAGAGAGAGAGAGAGAGAGAGAGAGAGAGAGAGAGAGAGAGAGAGAGAGAGAGAGAGAGAGAGAGAGAGAGAGAAGAGAGAGAAGAGAGAGAGAGAGAGAGAGAGAGAGAGAGGGAGAGTGAGAGAGAGAGGAGAGAGCAGAGAGAGAATAGAGAGAAGAGAGAGAGGAGAGAGAGAGAGAGAGAGAGGCAGAGATAGAGGCAGAGAGAGAGAGGCACGAGAGAGAGAGAGCAGAGAGAGAGAGAGAGAGAGCAGAGAGAGAGAGAGCAGAGAGAGAGAGCAGAGAGAGAGAGAGAGAGAGGCAGAGAGAGAGAGAGAGGCAGAGACAGAGAGAGGGCAGAGAGAGAGAGAGAGAGAGAGACAGAGAGAGCAGAGAGAGAGAGAGAGCAGAGAGAGAGGCAGCTCAGTCACACACTTAAATCCAGATTCGTCCTCACCGAGTCCCACCACCAAGGGAGCGCCAGCAAGGAGATGCGCATATGGGGATCCCCACGCAGTGAATCATTATCCCGTCCCTGCTCATCGCTTTCGGGCCCCATCCTTCCCCCACCCGTCTGTCCCCCCCCCTGCGCCCCATTCCTTGCTTCAAAGGCTGAGCCAAGTATGCGTGGCAGGTAGGGAAAGAAAACCTCCAAAAGGATACGACTGAAAACGGGAAACGGAATGGCACGCGAAAAGAAAACAACAAACGATATTAAACAAATGTTTGTTGTTGATGTTGTTGTTGTCGTTGTTGTAATCTGGGGGGCAGGGAAGCAGTCTTAGGCTCAATGCTTCCCCTTGCAATTGCTCTGGCGTTTTGGCCCCGCGCGAAACTCTGTTTAGCTTGCCCCTCGCCCTTTCCTATTCGCCGTGGCGGGGGCCCTCCTCTCCGCCGAATGTCCCCTTTTTCGTCCGTGTCCTCCTACTCCTTCGCGTCCTCTTCAATCTGTGTCTCTTCCTCATCGTCCTCCTCCTCGCCCTTTCTTCATCCTCCTCCGCCTCATCCTCCCCCCCCTCTTCTCATCTCCATCCCGCGCGTTCTCCTCTGCTCCCCCCCCCTTTGCCTCCTGGCCGGGGCGCGCCGATTTTCCTCGGCGCCCTCGCCGCCTCTGCCAGCGCTCGCGCGCGCGCGTTCCCCGCTGGCCCGATGGCGACGCCATTGAGGCGACGCCGCGGGCCAGGCCGTTGGGGCAACCCCGTGGGCCGCCAGGGCGCGGGGGCAAGCCGTCGGGCAACCCCGCGGGCCTCGAGCTGGGCGCCGCCCCGCTCGGGCGGGAGGCAGCGCGAAGCGCGAAGCGCGAAGCCTAGCTCTGCCGCGAGCTGCTCGCTCCGCTACAGCCCTGGAGCCCCCGGCCCTCTCGTTGAACTCCCCGGCCGCCTTCCCCAGGGGCGCCAGCGGCCCGCGTCGCAAAAGCTCTCGCGAGGGCGGCCGCAGGACCAGCATGTTCCGCGCGCGCGTGGCGCGGGGAAACATCTCGTAGTGGCGCGGCAGCCACCGTTCGTCCGACTGGCCCGCGCGGCCAGCGTCCTCGTCCGTAGCGCGCGCAGTCGGTTGTGACTCCTTTTGCGCGGCGTCTGTCCCTGCGACAGCGTGCAGGTGAGGGGCGACGCGTGCGTCAAGGTGAACCCCGAACGGCGCACGACGCGCGCCCCCGGGCTCTGCCACGGGAGCTCCTGCCCGCTGGGCGTGAACATCAGCGCGCCTGGGTTTCGGCCCCACCGTCGTCGTCAACGCTTTCGGGCTCCCGTAGCAGCCGTAGCAGCAGGTCGGCGGCTTCCTGGTCGATCGGAGACTCATTGAAGCCGCGCACCTGCAGCCAGATTCCCCGCGGTAGGAAGCGGGGGCGAAAAAACTGGACCAGCGCGTTTTTCTCGTACTCCCGGTCGTCCCCGTGGTGAATCTCGAAAGGCACGATGGTGGCCCGCTGTTCCTGCCAGAGCCCCAGCTTCATTTTTTAGTTCCTCCTGCGCGGCCGTGAACAGAACCTCCATGCCGACGCGTGTTGGTAACACGCCGAGGATGTCCCCCATCTTGCACATGTGTCGCGCTACACTCGTCCAGTGCCTACTGACGAAAACCAAGGGAACGCACAAACGCTGCGAGTCGCGACGAGCGCGCCCCCCGCTCGAGACATCCTCACAATTTGCCCTCATGGTGATCTAATGTGCGACGCTTCTTAGAATATTACGATGACCCGTTCGAAGTACCAACACGAAATGCGGGCCCAACAAGGAGGGGGCTCCCGCCTGAGACTACCTCGCAATCCACTCACACACGACGCCCGTTCAAATACTCCGGTGACCTGCTCGAATTACGAGCGGGAGGTGCGGGCCCCATAGGAAAGGAGGCGCCCGCCTGAGATGTCCTCGCAACCTACTCACAGACGAGGCCCCGCTCGAGTGTCTACCAACATGAGTGTGTGAATGTGTGGACGCATTCTGGTGGTGATGGTGATGGTGATGACGAGGGTGACCGGGTGAGGTCGAGTAGTGGTATTGGTGTGGTGATGATGATGATGATGATGATGATGCTGCTGCTGATGATGATGATGATGATGATGATGATGATGATGATGATGATGATGGCCGATGGTGATTGTGGGGTGACGATGACGATGATGATGGTAATTCGGGTGGGGACAGTGAAAATTGACGAAACCGGATATGGTTGCTCAGGAGTATGACGATGGTGATAATGCAAATAGGGATGATTCTGGTGATCTTGGGTGTGGGAAGAAGGGGGTCAGGCGCGACTGCGCGGGGGGGGTGCAAAGAAAACGAAACAAAACCCACACCTAGGATGTGGGGAAAACGAGGCGCAAGCCCTCCGAAGGCACGTCCACGGAGATTGATCAGTGGGCGCCAGAAAGAGAAAATCAGCAATACTTATTTGAGACTGTTTGCTCCTATCTGCTCGCGTGTCATTCAACACGCATATTCAAAACCCTCGGTATTTGTTCTCTTCGTCTTCGATCGTACCCACTTGGGGTTCCCTACGTACCCGTGGATTTAGTGCAGCCCCGCAAACAGCGGAGGAGAGGACCGATGAAAAGGGGAAAGGAGAAACATGAAACGCGAGAGAAATTGGCAAGAGGGGGGACAGAAGCAGAAAACACGCGGCAGAACCAGACTGGCAAATCGGGCGGGCAAACGCTAGCAGGCGGGCCAAGAAGGCGGGCCCAGGCAGCCAGGTCGAGCAGGCGGGTTGCTGGAGCGTGATCGTGCAGGAATCGCGATGACGTCTTGAGCGACAGCGCGATTCCCAAGTACCTCGCGAGAAAAGCCAAAACGAAAACGTAATACCTGAATGTCGAGGGAGCGTCGTCTAAATAATTTGCGAAAGCGTCCCACGCGAGAATGCGACTACTGCAATACATGTGAGGAATTCCCGCGCGAAGGCTCGAATTTGGAATGGCTTGTGAGGTAATAGCAGGCGGCAACCGTTACTGTTGCAGCGGGAGGGCAACGACACAATTTGAACACGAAAACTTTCCTTGATCCCCCAAGAAGTGCGAAGCCCAGGAGGAGCAATGTAAGTGAAAACCAATGTGCGCATGTGGGCGAGATCAATGATACAGGTTCATCAAGAATGAACGCTCAGCAACGACAGCATCAACAAAAACAACACCAGCACTAGCATCAGCACTGGCAACAACAACCAAAACAACAAACAACACACACAATCACAACGACAATAACAATAACAATAACAACACCGACAACAACCACGACAACAACCACAACGACAACACTCATGTCAAGACTGTTCGCTCTTCGCCTTCGATGGTACCCCCTTGGGGGGCCATCTTTCCTACCTGCAGCGTGTATTTCGTGCAGCCCCTGAGGCAGGGGAAGCGAGGACGGATGAAACGAAAAAACAAGGGGGAGTGAGGAGGTTGGAGCACGAGAGAAATTAGCAGGAGAGGAGGCCAAGAACGCAAAAAGCACGTGGCAGAAACTGACTGGCAAATCGGGCGGGTAGACCCTAACGGGCGGGCCAAGAAGGCGGGCCCAGGCGGCCGGGCCGAGCAAGCAGGTTGCTAAAGAGTTCGCCGTGCATAAACCGCGAGCAAGTCTCGAGCGACACCGCGAATCCCAAATACATCATGAGAAAAGGCCATATGGAGAGCGTAGTTCCTGAGTGTCGAGGGCGAGGCGTCTGAACGAATTGTGAGGACGTCCCACGCAGGAGCGACATTCCCCTGAACATTGTGAGGTAAGCGCGAGAGCGCGATTTGGGAATCAACTGCGAAGAAATATCGGGCGCGTGCCGCTGTTGTTGCAACTCGGGGGCCAGGGGACCAGTTTGGTGACCCCGCACCATCCCCTTGTAAAAAGACAGGGTGCGAGCCCCCGCGCGGGCACTTCAATCGAAAAACAGCATGTGCCCTGGAGGGGGGGCTCAACAACAAGTATTCCCCAGCACTGAGACCAACACCAGCAACAGCAACAGCAAAATCAACAACGGCAGCGTCACCACCAACGGCACCAACAACCACAACAACCACAGCATCAGCAACAACAGTAACAACAACAATAACAACTATAACAACTATAACAACGACAACAACAACAACAACAACAACAACAACAACAACAACAACAATCATTTTACCCGAACGCGTGGTGTTCTCCCCAGTGCCAGGGTTTTCATACGACACCAGGCAATACCCCCACTTCGTGGGGGGGCATTACAAGCTCTACCAAATATCCAAACGACTCTTCGCGACCACCCAAACCCAGCTTCCCGCCCTATGACGTTGGGACACTTCACTTCGTGGCGTGCGGACGACCGTGGCTACTACACTGGCGTGGGGTACACACCCACAGAACCCAATGGTTTTTGGAGATTTCGGCGTGCGCGCGCGAAGAAAAAACGAATGTGTCCCGCATGGTATTATTTGACAGGGATGATGGCCCTGGCAGGTGCGCAACCGTTGTCGCAGAAGTTCGAAAAAGTTGCTCGCAAAAGCCCGTTTGACAGAAATGTTTAAAAAGTGTTGGTTTTCCTACGAATCCGCAAGAGCGCGCGGGATGAGATTTTGACATTTTTTTGTTGAAAAACCATTGGTTTTTTGATGTTTTTATGTTAAAATCGCTCCGAACACTAAGCTTTTGGAAGGATTTCGTCTTGCGCGCGCGAATGTCCACTTTACCTTATTTTTTGCAAGGGATTCTTGAAATTTGATTATATTAGAACAAGAAATGTCATTTTATAGTGTTTTTTGCAAGGGAAAACGGATTACAACAAAACAACCGGATCCGGACCAATCCACTTTTCTGAAGCTTTCGCGAAAAAATGATGAAAATGTAGCTGCGGCCTAGGTTTTGGAGGGGGGTCGTGCACCAGGGGTCCCAACAATAATTATTCTTTAGAAGTAATAATGTTCAACAACAACAGCAACAACAACAACAATAACAACATCAACAACAACACCATCAATCATTCTAACGCTTTTCGCTCTGCTTGCGTGCCATTCATCGCATATGTCCAAAACTCTCGATACCCGCCCCATTCGTCTTCGATCGTGCCCCCTTAGGGGTACATCTATCTTACCTGCAATGTGAATTGCGCGCGACCCCTTAGGCAGGGGAAGAGAGGACGGATGGAAGGGACAAAGGGGGGCGAGGAGGATGGAGCACGAGAGAGAATGGCAGGAGGGGGACAGTGGGACAGCGGGGCAAGGTCTAGCATCCGTCGAAACGGACCCTAGCCGCTATGCCATGGAGGGCGGTGCCTCAGAAGGGCGCCGCCATGTGCACGCCGAAGACGAGCACCATGAACGTGGGGTGGGTGCGTACGGCGCCCTGGCCGCAAAACGGCCCAGGCCCCGACCGACCGCCGCTGCCACCGCCACACGCCGAGCCGGCGGCCTCCTTGATGATGGCAATGATGCGGCGCGTGTCGTGCGCCGCGTTCGCTGCAGCGAGATCCGCCCTCCGCCGCGCCGAGAGCACCAGCCCGCCCGCGTCGGCCGCCATCCGCCCACCAGGCAACGCTGGGAGCTCGTCCGCCCAGGCGTCGTCCACCAGAGGCGAAGGCGGCGCTCTTCACGGGCCCGCCATGAGTGCCGCCAGCGCCGCCGCGCCCGCGCCGCCGTCGGCGCCGCCGAAGGCGGACCGTGGCGTTTGCGGTGCCAGTCCAGAGGCCGCGTGCGAGGCGAGAAGCGCGCCGCGGGCCGCCTCCAGGGCGGCGCGGCGTCCGTCTAAGGGCATGCATATGGGGCCACGACGGGCGCGAGCGAGCGGGGGCCACGAAGGGCATAGTTAGATGGGGCCAGAAAAAGCGACAGCGGGGTCACGAAGGGCATGCATATGGGGCCACGACGGGCGCAAGCGAGCGGGGTCCACGAAGGGCATAGAATGCGGAGCCACACAGGGCAGCGACAGGGCCACTGAAGGCAGCAACGGGGCCACGAAGGGCAGCGAGCGAAAGCGACCGTGGAACCAGCACGGGCAATGAAGGGCATCGAAGGCGGGCGAAGGACACCGAACGGCGACTGCATCCCCCAACGGGCTGGTCGGGCGGGCAGGCCCCGCCGGGCGGGTTGAGCGAACGGGTCGTTGAAACGCGAATCCCGCGCCAGGAAGTATTTAGAAAGCGAGAGCGCGATTCCTGAGTGTCGAGGAGCGGCGTCTGAACACATTGTGAGGAGGTCTCAAGCGACAGCGCGACTCCAGAATAAAGTGAGGAATTATCAGCAGGGAGCCGTTCTTGTTTGAACTCGGGCGCCAGGGGCGCACGTTGACACTCAAAACTTTCCTTGGTAGAAAAAGGGTGCGAGCCCCAGCAGAGGCATTTCAACTAAAAATAAATGTGCACTGGGCAGGGGGGATCAACAATAATTATTTTTCAAAAATGAACATGCAACGACAACAACAACCAACAACAGAAACAGCATCAGCACCAACAACATCACCAACAACATCATCAACGTCAACAACAATTACACGAACAACAACAACACCAACACCAACAACAACAACTTCAGCAACAGCAGCAACACCAAAACTAACACCAAGACCAACAACAACAACACCATGAATCAACACCACCAACAACAAACACCAGGAACATCAACAAACAAACAGAAACTGCGCAGCGCAATCACACTTCAGCCGCGCTCTCAAGGACATTGAATGACCGATTCGGCCTGACTGGAAGTATCCTCCCCGCCGGCTCGTTCACGCTGTGACGGCTTGGGAATTGGCTCCTGGCCCCCCCGCGGATCACTCAACCTTGGACGATCAAGGCCTTCCGACGGCACAGATCCTGCGACATCGGCCGATTCGCTTCCTCGTCTTCCTCCTCCTCCACCCTCTCCTCCCCCTTCTCCCTCTCCTCCCTGCTTCTCTTCCTCCTCCTCCTCCTCCTGTACACCCCTCCTCCCCCCTGCTTTCCCCCCAACCTTAGGCGATCGCGACCTCCCGACAGCACAGATCGTTCGATATCGGCCGGTTCCTGGTCACGTGGACGTCGCCGTGTCGCCTGCCTGGGCTGGCTGCTCAACATGTTCGCTACTCGCGTACAAGTACGAGATGGTGGCGTCGGCATGCCAAACGCCACCCACCAGGGACGAAGTTGCGCTACGAAAACCTGCGAAGGCCCTTCATGAATCGTGGGTCGAGGGAATCTGGTGTCCGTTGGTTGCTGATGCCATCTGAGTGAGCCGCGGATCTGTGCACTAAGGTATGAAGGCCTCCGCCCGAAACATAATGCATATACTTAGTTGAACGTCTCAAGCTCGGGACCTACCTCGAATAATGTTCACTATGCTGTGCGCGGCGGCTGTGGAGAACTCCGTTTCGTAGTCATGTTCCCGTTCGCGGATATAGTTGGCATACTGGCCACGGATGAGGAGTTCAAGGACGGCGCGAGGTCCCTTTTCCGAGCCTGGTTTTTCTACGCGTTTACCGCCTCGGGAAGTGCCCCCCGGGGCCCGAGCACATATGCATACCCTGCCCGTGGGGCCCTGGGGCATCCGCCCCCCAGGGGGTGGATGCGCGCGCGGGCCTACATCCTCGACGTCGGCCCTGTTCGCAGGGGCGAGGGAAGGGAACGCGAGCTTTAGGGTGCTCGCAGCCAATCCTGGGGATGCGGCGCGCACGTTACCGCTCACAAGCCTGTCGTCGTCCGGGGTAACTGGCCTGCACCGTTCTGCACACGGGCCCGTCTGGCATCCGAAAAAACCTCTCAGCGAACGTGTGGCCTAGAGAGTTCGCGTGGAACCTGATGTGCTCGGACTGCAAGGCCCGATATCGCACGTTGAACACACGGATCCCTCCTCGTCGGTGCCTACTACTACTGCTGCTGCTGTTTCTGCTACTACTACTACTACCACTACTACTACTACTGCTGCTGCTACTACTACTACTACTACTACCACTACTACTACTACTACTACTACTACTACTACTACTACTACTACTACTACTACTACTACGACTACTAGCACTGCGACTAGTACTACGACTACAACCGCGACGACGATTACGACTATGGCAGCGACTACGACTACGACTAGTAATCCTGATGCCAGTACCTCTACTACTACTACTACCACTACCACTACTACTACTACTACTACTACTACTACTACTACTACTACTACTACTACGACTACTAC